GTATCAAAATTTGCTTAAAATTCTAGTATTGACATGATAAAATATGCGATGTTTTTTTCAATTAAAAACATGTTATATGCATATGCCTAGAGGTTATGATCAGACTTGGAGATGATAGGAATGATGGCATCAAAACTGACTTGGTAATTCAGATTTTGGCATTATATAAAAATGTCATATGCCTTTAAAACCTTAACACATGTAAACATAAGTAATGAAGATCAGTATCACATTCACAGACAATAAGAGAGCTATTACCAATATTGACTTGGATTCAAATTTTGGCATTATAAAAATGCCATGTTTTTTTTAATGTTTAAACATTGTGTATACATATGTCTTGAAGATATAAATGTCACTGAGGCAGGCTTTCCAATACTAACTGGCTAAACAGGTGTCATCTTGTAGCCAGAAGGAAGTGAAACATTACAAAACAATACAGTGAGGGCAGTAAAATTGTGTTTCATCCACTAAGACACTGGGGCTATCTTTCTGTATCTTAGGACATAAAACTGCTGGTTTGACCAGCAACCAGCAGGGATAACATATTTGGTCATGGTCAAAAATGGTTTCATGTTGACATTTTAATGTCTGGAGAAAGTTGTGGACAGCCTTATCAAGCTGATCAGTCATAGACTTGGCTGACCACTGTAGATCATAATGACTGTATTGTCTGAAGGCCATTAAATCTTGCTATCTTGACCTGGAGTCCAGAACATAAAAACTGCAACCCTGATACATAAATTTCCCTCCATTTAGAATTCAGTGTAACTGACTAACATGCACCTAGTAATATAGCTTGCATTTTATTTTATTTTTGAAGACCCACAATAACATGATTTTAATGTTTTCATTTTCTTTAAATGTTGATTGAGATTTATCATTGATATGTATTTCACTTCATAGCAATTAATAAAAACTTCAAACTAAAACTTAAGTCACAAAATAGAAAAACTTTAAGTAGCTGAGCTCTCAGAACGATAATACAAGCCGCCCGATTACAATTTTTGCAATTTAATCACAAATTCTATTACAACAAGCAAATTCGTGGAATTTATATCCCCCGCTTGCAGGACATATTGTAGGTTAACATTATTGAGGTTAGGTTTAAACATGTGAGTATCGTGCTGTTGAGACATAATGTATAGCTTGAAACTTGAAGAAGACAAAAAGTCCTTTACCTCATTGATTATCCGTAAATATGCACAAATCACATTGGTAGGCAAACTTAGCATTAGACGGATATGCATACAGAGTTTTGTTGAAACATCTGAACAATATCTACAGCATTTATCACACGAACACCAAAGAGTGCCCGAGATGGGTGGAAAGACATTTTGAAAATAACTATTTCAAACTCTAATAGGTCGATTTAACTGAAACTCGGTCTAGGAATGATCAGCTCATGGTCCTGACAAACTTAAGTTTACGATATACTTAACTATTTTTTACTCAAATTGGTACATATTTCAACAACTAAAATAAATACTATAGGGCTCAATAGTACAGGTGACTGTTAAGGCCCATGGGCCTCTTGTTTATTAATCAGGTCACATTGGATATTCAAAATCATTTACACACAAATGTCCACATGTTATAAGCCACTTCTTCAGTCTACAGTTTTTTAAGTTTTTACAGAAGTAACATAAAATTATAAAAAGTTTCATGATCTTTTATAATCTCTATTTTTTTTATTAATTTGATTTTACCTCTTACAATTTAAAATAGAAAATGTGTTTCCAACATATTGTAGTTTTGGTTCTTTACTGCAAAAATTAATGACAAAAATACTGTCTAAACTTAAAATTTTGAATTTACATAGAATTAATTGTTAGTTAATCTAAGGGCATATTCTTAAATTTTGAACAATACGAAATACACAGAATTGCTCTTTAAGGGAACCTACTAATTAACTATAAAAAGAATCTCTTTTCAAAAATAGTTTAACACTGAAACACATTTTTTATATGATGACAGTCTTTTGAAACTACCAAAAGAATGTAGTCATTGATTATGAGGAAGGGTTATCTTTCATGAGAGTAGTGTTTTTGAAAAGCAAGGGAGACAGCTTCAATACAACCACAGAGGATGTATCAATCAAATATACCCTTAATTTAATTTATGTGTATCTTTGTAGTTAATTAATTCTGTCCACATCCCTGGTCAGTCTACAGGTAAGAACACACTTGTCTGGCCACTGATTGGATTTCCTGGCCTTTCATTGATGTTCACCTGTGTTCACCTGGAGAACATTTAACATTGTCGCTGGCACACTTATAACACATGGACTTTTGTGTGTGTAAATAATTAGGACTGTCCCAGGTAACCTACTTAATTGGATGAATCAGAAATTGTCTTTTTGCTAGGTCAGTTGAGAATGGTCTTTATTTCATCACTAAAATTAAAATTTACCTCAAAGAATAGGATAAACAGTATAAATGTACGTGACTATTTTTTCTTTTCTGACTGTAAGAATAAAAGACAAAAGTATTATCAACCTTGAAATACACCAAGTACACAGAATTGGTATATTTAAGGACATATGCCAATTTTCTTTGAAATGTATGTCTATTTCCAAAAGACAAAGCAATCACCTATTTTTACTAAATGATAGAAATAAATAGACGAGAGTCTTGAGAGTTTACAAAAGCGTGTGTCATGATCATGGTAACAGTGGGTCTTACTGAAATGATAGTTTTAAAGTGAAGAGAGACGACTCTAGAAATCCTAGTATAATGAGTTTAGGAAACATTTACGCTTAAACATACATTTACAATCTAATCAGGAAGTTTTCTATGGTGAGTGGGGTTTTTTAATGAAGAGGATTATAACTTCCTGTTTATAGGGTGTCACATCAGTAGTGTTGTCCTGCTATAGCTGATGGTGTATATATTGGGTATATCATTTCTGTACAAATTTGTGTGTATCTTTGTAGTTAATTAATTCTGTCCACATCCCTGGTCAGTCTACAGGTAAGTACACACTTGTCTGGCCACTGATTGGATTTCCTGGCCTTTCTTTGATGTTCACCTGTGCTCACCTGGAGAACATTTAACATTGTCGCTGGCACACTTATAACACATGGACTTTTGTGTGTGTAAATAATTAGGACTGTCCCAGGTAACCTACTTAATTTAAAATTGTTCTGACTCTTAATTGGATTGTATGTTAATTATGAATTAGGGGTGGCCCCTTGTCAGGAGAGCACTGATAGCCAGACAATATTGTAAATAGGAAATCTTATTAGTCTTCAAAATGGAGCTTTACAATTCATTTACAAAAATTAAAAAAACCAAAATATGTATTGTAGTATTGCAGTATTTCCCCTTCTAAACTAACCATTGTTCAATGCAAGTATCAAACTGCACAATAAGTAATTGCAACGAACATGAAATACCCTATTTTTGAGATTGAGAAATATTTGTTTGAAAACCACTGTACTCTGCTGCCACCAACAGCTGAACAAATGGAAATATGAACAAAACTTTTTATAAGAGAGCCAATCTGTGGAATTTGACAACAATGGAAAATGACCATTATTTCCCAAATAAAGTCAAAATTCACTAATTTGGGAGATTGATTTAAATTGTCAAATGGCAGCAGGACATATGTGAAATGGTCCCAGTTAATTACCAGCCTGGATGTTCATGTCAGATGGACAGTAATAGTGGTACAAGGCAGGTGGGATGGTCACATCTGAGCATCAATCTGTCAGTTTCATGATGCAATCATTTTTTCAACCCAAAAGAAATTCTAAATAGATATATAAAATGATTTTATTAAAATATGTTTTTTTAAGCTCACGCATATTTTGTTCTTTTTTTAAACATATTTTTCCAACTTTAAATAAATATGAAAATGTAACAGATGGTCCATTTAATTTGATGAGATTTCTGTATCGTCATGCACACTTCTAACTGGACGTCGCATCTGTATAATGGTCAGTATAACGGGCATTATGCTGCAGAGACACAACAAAATATCTTTACAGAAAACTCGGATAAATGTTAAAAATAGCAGACATCAATCTGGTATGCCGATATAGAGGCAATCTCATGTCCTTTTGCCTGTTCCGACAGATGACCGACAGCGCGAAATTGACATCGCATCATGTCCACCTTTAGAAAAAAATTGTCTTTCACTTCGATAACATGAATAGGAGTTAATCACTCGTGAAAGTTTATTCTTAAAAATACATTAAAGGGTGTTGGGATTTATTCTTAAAACTGCATTAAATTTGAAAGACTCAAAGGGGAACACTATGACCATTTAGGTTTTAGATCGACTGGAATTGAAAACCACTTGTATATCACAAATTTCATTTACATGGTATATGGTTCTGTACAATCTTATTTAGGACAAAATCACCCTTGGATCACTTTTTCTTTGTAGGCACAAATGATGCTTTTTTCAACCTCGAAGTTTTAAGTCTGACCTTCAGAGGAGGTCAATCTTTAGAACATTGTTTGTGCTTATAATAGATTTTCCCTGCTCCAGATCGGCAGGTGTAACTTCACATCTTTAATCAAATTTTCAATGTCATACCGTGTTAGAATGTTCAGGTTTTTTTTTAACATTGACTAGCAAATGGGATTTTAACTGCATAGGACCTCTTATATAGGGAATAGGGACACTTCCTAATCTGTCTTTCTTGCATGTTATAACATGGCCTATGAATGAGTGGAAATTATGCATTCATGTTGTATTAGATCTGCCATTTAAACAGTGATGGCGACCACGGAAATGCTAATTAATTTAAATACTAACTCTGAAGCAGTCAAAATGTAACACACCTCAGTGAAATTAAACCAAGTAAGTTGATTGCTTGGTGTAGATTTCTCATCGCTACATCAGACAGAATGTCTCAGCTAAGCTCAGACGTAAAAGGTAACCACAGGTAAAAGTTTGTATAAGGCAATAATTTATCTCTTAGGGGTTTTCCACTATACCTGAAAACACAATGGGCGGAGCAAGCAGGTGATTTGACAGTTTGAAGTCCAAACACAATAGGTTAGGATTGGATGCTGTAATACAGTTAGGGGAAACAATAGGAAGTAAGGCCTTTGTGTTTACAGTAGTCCAGTATGGCTGGAGGGCGGTCACTCTAGCCACAAGCTTGCTGTAGCGAAAGCGCAGAGAACAATTATAATCAGTCAGTCAGAACGAACATAACAGTTTAGCACAGCACACACAGGCCAACCAGTAGTGTGAGCGCCAGCTTTAAACATAACAGTTGTCAACATTGAGCTGAGAGCCAGGGATATTTTATATACACTTCCAGATACTGTGTTATATTTATGTGACTAGATGGACACTGTGAACTTAAAAAACCAATGGATGTATTAATAGGACTTAATAGAAAACTGTAACACTTTGTCAACACCGACACATATTTTGTGTGGATCTCCAGGGGACTTGGTCCCAACAGGAGGTGCTAACTCCCGACACTGATACTCCTACATACCTACAATGTAAGAGAGGGGTCTAACACCCCCAGGGATCTTCCTTTTCTCTCTACTGGACCTGATTGGACTTTGTTATTAATACTGTTATTGATACTGATGTAAAGGGATCAGTGTTCAGCCTCTACTAAGACCAGAAACACTTGTGTGTATTCTACACAAGCTGGATCTTTATCCAAGGACATGCCTGATGAAGATGCAAAACAAAATGACTTGTAAGTATCAATTATAAAATTTAATTTTATTATATGTTGATGTTTTTATCTCATTTGAATACAAGGTGCAATTAATCATTTTATGTAGTGAATATTCATGTCATACCCACAACGATTTACCCAACACAGCACAGCTAGTTAATGACATCACCTCTAGGTACAAAACAAACAACTGACAGCTTATTTATTTGTTGATTTTTATTCAGTTATTTCATGTGGTTAAACAATATGTTTACTTGATCATTCTATGTTTGTTAACTGTTGTACTTATATGTACCAATATGTACCTATATGTACCAATATGTACCAATATGTACCTATAGGTACCTATATGAACCAATATGTACCTATATGTACCTATATGAACCAATATGTACCTATATGTACCAATATATACTAATATGTACCAATATGTACCTATATGTACTTTTATGTACCAATATGTACCAATATATACTAATATGTACCTATATGTACCAATATGTACCTATATGTACCAACATGTACCAATATGTACTTTTATGTACCTTAATGTACCAATATGTACCAATATGTACTAATAGGCATGTTAACAAATGTGTAGATATTAGACTTTTATTCCCAAAGTTACTTGTTTTCCTATTTGATATTAAAATAGTGAAATATTTATATACTTTAAGTAAATGATGTAGGATTTAACATAAGTAAATGATGTAGGATTTAACATACTGTAAATGATGTAGGATTTAACGTAAGTAAATGATGTAGGATTTAACATAATAATCATTATTCTATATCATTATTCTATATCATTATTCTATATAGTTATAAATATATTTTCCATATCTAAGGCTATCTATCTACTTATCTCTGTTATCAGATATGACCAGTGTGTTTACTTTCTAAAGGTATTGTTTACCTACATGGTATATATCTACAGGCATGGCACTGAGTCTCTGATGTCTAATATTATCACCTATGGTAATCCCTTCATACATGGAGGTGGGATTCTTGCCCCTCCAGAGTTAGAGAAAGTCCAATCAGCCTGTCTGACCTTAACTGTGGACAGGTATCATGATCCCTTAATTAAGTCCCTAATCAATCAGGTATAAAGGTTACCACATGGCCGATAGCCCCTGAATCTCAAACTGATGGCTACATGTGGTTAAAAGAACTGAAGTCAGGTCATTTAGATGTTGGAAATTTTAGATTTTAGCAAAATAAGACACATATAAATTCTATATGTGAATGGAGTTGATAAGTTTAATTTTTTACATTACTTTATGCTGACTATATGTAATAAATGTCTAATGCTACAAAGTAATCTTATTTTTTTTCTCTCATAAAATTAACAAATCTATACATAGATCATACTAATATCACAAACTTGAATACATAAAACCATTGATTTCAGTCAAAGTAATGTATATTGTAAATGTACCCCAACAACATCTCATTCAGATGGAAATAATTTGAGTCGATAGTCATAATTTTTAACTTCATTAACGTGAAAAACTATATCTTAAATGAAACGGTATCAGTATGTATACATTGTAATATGCATTTTGTTAAAAATATATCAATCTCAGAAGGACTGTATGTTAGTTTTGAAAGCTAACAGCTTTTAACTGTTCAAGTTAGATTGATCAATAAGTTTCTCAGTTTTGATTACAAGTGACATGTTTGCTGAATGAAATGACCAGTTTATTATGATGTAGTAATACAGACCAGAAATAAACAATTTTCCACGCCCATAAACCAATCAGGCACACTGCTGCACATGACAGAGGGGAGCAGGTTCCATTGACTGTGCTCTAGTACAATAGAGTTTATGACCCTTAAGCAGGGCCATTATGAGGCCTATGATGGATGTGTGACCTCAATATGTGTCTGTCACAGGGTTACCTCATATTGCATTATATTTATGTCTACCATGATGTATTCAATCAGTTTTTGGAGACAACCATATTCTGCTAATTTACCTGTAATTTACCTGTTTTTCACCTGTAATGTTCACCTGAGGACAATTGTTTTATTTATCTAACTGTTTACCCTTACAACGTAACCCCGATATCAATATCTGACATTTTCAATAAAACTCATCCATCATGAGTTTATGACACTCAGAAGGGTAGGTAGGCGGGACATATTTTCAATATAACACTCAAGTATAGAACCTACTTGTCAAAAGACTCTACCATTACAGTGAAATTACTCAATATTTTATATAACATTTCTGTCAAGAATTCTGTATGATGAACCTAATTTGACTGTCACAACTGGTAATAAATAATGTTGTCTGAGTAACCCGGGCAGTGAACTTTGGTAATTAAAACCTGTGGAAAAGATTAATTTTTCATTACGGACGACGGAACCTCTTTATTATGAAAACTCAGGTTGGTGCATGCATACTCTGGATTAATTAAACAGTACTATAATGTCATTTTGTATTTCAATGTCAGAGAAACAAATTTTTCTGAACAATCAGACTTGAGATTGGCAGTTGAAGCCCAGATTAAAATGAAAATCTACTGTATGTCTAGAGATTACCCCTAGTCTTGTATGTCGACGTGATTGACAGCTCATGAAGAACTTCTATCTATGTCCCTCACGTGCACTTAGCAGTCTGTTTCATCGGAAGCTGATAAGTCCCACTCAAGATATGAAGATTCAAAATTTAAACAAAGATAATACTTAAAGATTAAAATTTGTTCAAATGCTGATAGAACCCAGTAATACAATGATAAGATATAGGAGCACCTGTTGGTCAGAAGGTGTTGAGATATATCGTAGGTAGGGAATTGAGTATCCACACTAATTGGATGTTTTTGGACTCGAATTGTGCCTTTGACCATTGTCCAAACATTGCTTGGTCAGAGACGTGTGCCAAAAACTCAGATTTCACCGATAAAACTCCCAGGTTAATACAAATTTGTTAAAACTCTGCCACTGTGTCTGCCACTGTGTAGTTTACACTTTTATAGTTCATTGATTACAGTGTAGCCTGGGTTGGAGTCATCCATCTTTGGGAACTGTGACAGGGTAAAGAGGTGCTAAGACTAAGTGATGGTTGTCAATGGCCGTGCCAAAGGATGGTGTCAGTGGTCACCTCATGCTGATCGCGAACATCCTGTTACATTTAAAAAAAAAATAATCTGAAAATTAAACTTTCAAACATATTCTGGCCTAAAAAGGAAAGTTTTATAAGTATACTCCTCAGTTATTCCCCAGCAGTCATGATTTCAAGTTGAATTTTAAGACAAAGGCTCATGGTGTTAAAAGACTAATTAGAACATTAATAAATTTAACACAAAATGTCTATCAAGTAAAATGTTTAAAATATCAAAATCAAAACTGAAATATTCAAAATGATTATCTAAAGGCAGAGAACATAAAACAGTTCCTATTTTTTTCCATTAAAGCTAGTCAGACTTTAAGTTGTCTTTATACAATCATTGCCTTGGTAAAGGAAATTTGATATTTAAAAAAAATTGCAATGACTTCATCATAATAAAAAAGCAGGTTTAAAAAAGAACAAGGGTTTTATCAGTTTAGGGGTAATTTTCAATGCCCATCAATCTTGTGTGTCTATCTCTGTCAACATCTACTATGGACCTCTGTCAGGCGATGGATGGCCACCAGTGAACTACCCTGGGCTACCCAGTAGTCAGACTGTTCAGTGCTGAAACACTACAATGCTACTGGGGTAGCTGGCGGGCATTCTTTCTAAAAAATACAATCTGTTGTCACGGGATGGATATTCCTGAAGTTATAAGTAGCTTATTTCGTATCCTAACATGTCAATATTTGTCAATATTTGTACACAACTTAAGACAAGATTCAAGTTTATCAGACCTAAAATAAATATCACCTTTGAAGACATATGCAGTCTCCAATTTGAGAAAATAACAATCATTTCTAACATAATTATTACAATCCATATGAAAGACATTCAATTATGAAAATTAAAATCCATTACAACAATTTATGTTTCACGGGTCCTGATATCGGTAGATTAGCAGGTGGACTGCTACAAATGGACTAGGGCCATTGAGGTACAAGCTATATACAGGTACTACTCTATATCATTGAACTACTGGGTAAGATGTTAAATGCCAGGTATGTGGAACTCGTAAGTAAGACATTAATATCATGTCGACAGGTAAGACAAAGCATGTGCAGCTGCAAGGACAGGTGTGTCAAGTTTCCTGTACGTGTGCCGTCCTACGCTGGAGGACAATTACAAGTGTTTTGCCTGTTACACGCTATCGAGCTTGGCACGTGCCGGGTACTTTTGTCCGCCTATTGAGACCCACTGTCTAAATAAAAGGGTCTGAGCTGAGAGTGTGCTGAACTAACAAGCTGAGAGAGTGAATGGCTTTAAATGACTGTCTGTATCTGTTAAGTACCACATGATTAAACATATAGTAAAGAGCACCTTATGGACAGATCGATACATCTTCAAACTTGTACCTATTCAACCAGCCATAGTTTAAATAATCAACTCCAAATGAGGATTAAGAGCATTTTTTGACTCCCATTAAAAACACACGATGGAATATATTTTGTGCCAAATGTAATTCCACCATTCAAACAAATTTCTGTTTATAAATTGTATTTTTTTTTAATGATTTCAGTATAATTATAACAAAGTGCCTAGTTGATAGCTAGACAACTAATTACTTGTCCATCAAATGTCTAAAGGTGAAATAAGGTTAATTAGAATAAAACATTGAATTAAATTGGGAAAAAAAAATGTTCGCCACCCGTCCATAATGTGTTAATGATAATAATTTGAGTAGGTAATAAATCATAATTATAATTTCAACACCAGGCTGACGATGAGTGTTGTAATTTTATAGGGACACAGTGAAAATGATACACTGCTGATAACACTTACAATTCTACGGGGACAAACTGATAAGAGCTATAATGACCCTGATTACTTAATAAGAGTTCTAATGAACCTGATCATTAAAGAAGTGTTATAATGAACCTGTTCAGTGTGAAACCTCAAGCTA